TCTTTAATTTTAAAAAAATTAATTTTTTATATTAATTTATTATACTTTCTATATTAAATGCTAAAAATAGTAATTTTGTGTAACCATGGTGGAAATAGCAAAATACCATGGTGGAAATAGACATTCCCTATATATATATAACAGAATAAATATATTTTAGTAATATTCTTATTTTTATTTATTAATTTTTTTGTTTTTTTGTTTATATTTTATTTTAATTTTTTTTATATTTTTATTTTAATTTTTATATTATTTATTAAGATTTATTTTATAATGCTAGAGTATTGTGATCAATTAAAATATAAGATTGGGTATTACATGCAAATTACCTTTTTATGTATTAACAATAAGAAAATTTAAAAATTAATTATATTTTAAATTTTATTAAATAATCATCTTTTGTGTTTTAATAAAAAATTTCTTGCAAAATTTTAGTTTAAACTATATCTTATCTAATCTTAACTCTGGCTTTCATCTTATTTTTTATAAAAATTAGATTGTTTTAATTTACATGTTATGCCAATTTTGTATTTATATATAGAATAGTACTACAACACTATAACACTATAGTAATATTCTTTTATTTATTTTAATTGTTTAAGTTTTATTTTTTTATTCAAAAATGATAAAGTATACCTATGGTGCTAAACACTATATATTGTTTTAATTTACAGATTAGTGTAACAAAAACAAAAAAATAAATTTTTATAAAACAAAAAGTAAATTTTGATTACTTTAGAGTTAGACTGAGTTTGAGATTTTATTTGAACATTAGTATATGCAGAAATTTTTTTTGTTTGAGCCCCAAAGATGATTTTATAAGTGAAATTTTGAGATATTTATATTTTTTTAAAAAAATAAACAAAAAAGCAAAATTTTATGTTACACCTGATTTTAAATTTTATTAGCTATTCTAATAGATTTGTGTGACATGGTGTTTAACACCTATGATGCAGTTTAGTAAACTTGTTTTTATTTATATTTTTTATTCAATAGTTTTTTATTTTTTTAATAATTACTATAGAGTACTAACCAAAGTATCCAATACAATCTAACTAAAAAAAACTTATAAAATACCCATAGTTCTCTTGATTGGTGATGGATATCTTGTATAGAAGTAAATTTACTTTATATGATTTTATATATGAAATGCAGAAGTCAATATGTTTTATTGTGAAAATTTTATACAAAATACCCAGGTATTAACCTCAGTTACAAAAATACTTACAAAGTACCCAGGTATTTTGAGTGGGGTATACAAAAGGGTACTTTGTTCAATGTACTATGGTATATAATTAATTTATATAATTTTTTTATTTTTTAATTTTTATAATTTTTAATTTTATATATTGATCTGCGATTTTTTTTAATATATTACTGATTTACCAAGAGCACTACTTTAATTGTTCTTGAAGAATATCTTATGGCCATTGTGAAGAATTAAAATCCTTTGGTCTTCTGGAAAACGATATACGTTATTCAGCGCTCGAGAATGACACGGGACTACTTGATTATACAAGCAGCAAGCGTAAGAAATGTTTTCGTAGGTAAAAAAAATACAACCAACACTATAAAAAAAAACGAATAAGATCAGCTTCTTGTAGGTTTAGATCGGTCCTATGACAGGCCGCAGTCTTTTGGTCCATCTCTACTGTAGAATAGTATTTTAAAGAACTTTTTTAGAACCTTATCAGGAACGGTATGTAAATTGATTTTTTCCCCTACCCTATCAGAAACAATACCGATAATTCATCAGGAATAAGCTGAATCAACTCGACTCATCCAAAATCAAGTCGACTTAGTAGTCAATTTACAATTTATGATAATTTTTTAAGCAATTAAATTGAATAATTACAATTGGTAAGCAGAATTGCACACTAATATACAACGAATTATGTAGTATATGCAATTTAAATGCTTCAAATGAGTCATGATTACACAAAGATCATTTATGAGAGCTATTAATAGTAACTACAGCAACTATATAGGATATTCCGTAGAATGTTCCGTTTGTATAACCAAAGATTTTTACCGAACAAACAATGATGCAATGTACAATGAAGCTAGGCGCAGAACTTTTTTGAATCATTAGAACGATGGGTCCTACGAGCTATATTTAGAGAGATTTGACTGCATGTCAGTAATTTTATAATGAAATTAGCGCTGTTTGAATTCACTTACGTAAGTATTTTCATAAGTTCTGAGATGAGTTCCCGAGTCAAAGTCAGAATCAGTACGTAACGGTAAGTTACCGGTTTTGGCCGAAATCGGAACCTAATAATTAAGAGTTATGATGACGATTATGAAATCTAAAAAGGATTATTAATTTTCGGATCGTTGGCTCATTTGAAATTTTATATAAATCCAGCGTCTTTGAGATCAAGAATTTTTCAAATTAAATATAATTCATATAAAACCTATATAAATAATGTCGTCAATAAAATTAAATTTTTTAAATTCTATTTCATTTTCAGACATCTCTGTCTTATTCACCATCCTATTCGTATTTTACATTATTCGCTTTTACTACATTTATTTCACTCGTCCAAATAAGTTACCAGGTCCTTTCCCATTACCATTTATAGGTTCAAATTATCAAGTTTTTAAAATAAATGGCCGTGTAGTAGGGTTAGATGAAATGTTTAGTTCATTCCACTCAAAATATGGTGATATATTTGAAATTTGGTTCGGTAGTCAACGTGTTATTACTTTATGTCATCCAAAATATATGGTTAAAATGCATCAAGCATCTACTAAAAGTAAATATATGAAAAGGTTTTCAAACACTGGAGGTAAAGAATATGGTTTAGTTGATAGTGGTGTTTTTAATAATAATGATATCCACGGTTCTTGGAAGTTTAATAGAATGGTTTTTAGTACCGCATTAATGCGTCCAAAGTTAGATAGGGATGCATTACAATGGACCATAGAGTTGATCGAGGAATTGGAATCATATTGGAGTAGAGTTGGTATTATAATTGATGAGAATGATGTTAACATAATTGATAAGAATGATGTTAACAAGCCATCAATTGAAAATAATGATCTTCCAAAATGGATGCGTAGATTCACATATGATATGATTTATAGAATAGCAATCGGAATTAAAGGAAATGCACTCAACTCATATACTAATAACCTATGTAATGTTGATAATCAAGAAACTGAATCAACTAGTATCATTAATAGCATTCAAACTTATATTGACGGAATTCCGTATTTTCGTCTATTTCCGAAATATGCTCGTTATTATGTTCCATATATTAAAGGAATTATTCGAAGATATTTAGATAATAAAGAATATTTATTTGGAAAATTAAAAGTAATAATTGAAAGACGTCGACGTGAGATTAATGAAACTCCACTAAATGAAGAATTAAGGAATGATATGTTGACTTCTTTTATTATTACAAATACTGATAGAGATATGCATGAAGGGAAATTTGGAGAAAAGTACGATGATGCCGTAATCAGGCCTATGAATAATGACGAGATTTGCGGAAATTTAATCGATGCATTCATTGCGGGAACTGATACTGTAAGTTCTTTTTCTAATTATTATTATTATAATTATAATTACAATTTATTTAATATTCAATGCTAAAATGTTTTTATTCTTTTACCTTAATAGACCGCAAATTTATTTTGCTTTATAGTTTACTATCTCGCACATCATCCGCATGTTCTAACCCGTTTCCGTCAAGAACTTGACTCAATATTCCAAGATGATATGTCACGAAAAATCACACTTAAAGATTTAAATAATCTTAAATATTGTGAATCGATAATTAAAGAAGTATTTAGAATTCAACCTGTACTTTCCACAAATGTTCGTTTAAACTCTGAAAGAGATGAAATCTGTGGATATATTTGGCCTGCTAATACTGACTTTATGCTATTTTATGGTGCTATGGCTAAGCGTCCTGAAGCATGGAATGAACCACTAAAATTCAATCCTGATAGATTTTATAATTATCTGACTAATGAAGAACATGTAGACTTAGACACCCATAAAAATATAGGCGAAAAATCTGAAAATGGAGATGATATTGAAAATTCATTTGTGATGTTTGGAGGTGGGTTGCGTATGTGTCCAGGAAGGAAATTAGCAATGATTGAATTAAAATGTTTAGTAACTATGATTTATAGAAAATATGATGTTGAATTAGTTGACATGAATGCTCCACTTAAAACTAAATCTAATATCTTTACAACCTGTGATGAGTTATTATTTAGGCTAAAATTAAGAAAATAGTTTACTATTGTTTATTATTTATTTATAATGTAAATTTATATTTTTTTGATTTAAAATTTTATATTGATATACGCAATAAATTATTTTCTTATAAGACGACTTTAAGGCTCACAGAGGTGAAATTCATCGGGTATGTTGTTTCTCAAAACGGCTAGGATAATCGATAATTAGTAGATTAAGTAAAAATGTTCAGCACCCTAAAAACTCCAATCTCCATCTTAATTTAACCCTGAAGCCCTAACTCTAAGGTTTAATTTTAGCTTTAAAATTTGTGGTAAAATTCTCTATAGATCATATAATAATATCTAAAACACTTCGTGGTGAATTTCACCTCCAGTGAATATTAAATAAATTCTTTCTTATATTACATGTACTTTAATTTGTTAAAATGGCTGAGTATAAATTAAAAAAGGGTTAATCTTACTATACATTGCTGTATATTAATTATTAAAATCTTTTAATTATCATTGAAAGGTAAACGAGGCTTTTCTAATAGTTAAATTTAATAAGTTCTCAATAAGGAATTTTTATTAAACATTCGGGCGCTTTTTGGAATTGGACCAAAACTAGAACTTGCACATGTGGCGGCTTCGCCGCCGAAGTTTAATGTTGACAGGTGTTATAGAGTTGGAGATTTGTTTAATGGTGTTTAGTTATTACGAGGGGTATATACTGTGGCATGTATATTTTCGATGAAAATATTTGTCGATGGGCTATATCTAAGGGTAAGTATAGCATGAAAATCAATAATGTTAATTAAATTAAGAAGTCACAAGTAATAAGAGATTTCGCAAAAAGTTTTTTTTGGTACTTAAATTTTGGTACAAAAATGTGATTTAGTATTACATTTGAGATGAAGTTTAATTGGCTTGTTTTATATGTCACAAGATCTGTACAACAATAAAAAGTATAAATAGATTGAGTTGCGCCAAAGTTATACAAATTTCGATACTCGTGCATAACTGGGTATTTTGTACGATAATAAATATGTGTATGTACATTGAATTGTATTAGAGGTATCGGTATGTATGTATGTACATACGTATGTATATTGAATTGTATTAGAGGTATCGGTATGTACGTATGTTGAGAAGGTGTAAATTATGTGGGTTGTGTCGGGAAATTTACTGGGTGATATATAATAACTCCAAACTTAAAAATACCACTACTAATTAAAATTTTTTAACCAGAATACTAGAACTACTTTAACTAAACCATAATATTGTTACGGCAACGATCAAGGCATAGAAAGACTTGGTCCGAGTAATCAGGGTTATTTGATTAAGCAGAAATAATGTTGAAATCAGATAGGTGCTTTCTTGTCTCTTTAGTAAATACTTTTAACACCTTCGTTAATACTTGGAATTATTCTTTTCGTAGATACTGCAGCTGGGTAATGTGATCGAAATTGACCAATCGGATTGTAGTATAAGGTCACGGTATTGCAGGATCTCGAATTAGGGACAATGACATTGATCACGAACTTAATTAGAGGCAATTTTCAATATATAAGGACTTGTATTACTAATACAAAGCTTCTCTCTTACTAAATATGACAAACAATATGAAAAGTCACAGTGGCAAAATAATATGAAATGGACGAATGATTTTTCAACAATTAGGGTACAACAGTTTATAGACAAATACTTCTACTCTTATTTCGAAGGTTTGGAACTCTGGGAGTTATCCTTTATTCAAGGTAATTTTCGTTATTTATATACATGATTTTTACAGACTGAAAATTGGTACTTATTTTTCTTATTAATACTATCCTTCTTTTCTATTATATTTTTCTTATAATACTTTTCGTAACTATTTACCTGACAATTTCTTTCGTTCCGATTTTAATAATCGTTCCAATTTTTATGAAAATAAAAATAACGAAAATGAAAATAATAAAAATAATAAAAATAGTGAAAATAATAAAAATCAAACAATGTGCTACGTCGGACAGTAACATATTGTTGAGGGAAAATTCGACTGTTACAACGTATATATGTAATTGGTTAGTGGATATATAATGCATAAATGTTAAGATTAGTATTTGCAAATGACTTATTGATTTTTAGTATCAAAGATTGGAGAGAAAGTGAATTTAAAATTTTACTTAATAGAATGAGGTAAGTATGGGATTGTTTTTTTTTTGTGATTATGATTATTTGTTTGATTTTTAATATGTATTATAGACTATGAGGGAGTATATGAAGGTCGTTCATCTTAAGCGGATATATAAACTTATATTAGGAGATCATGCATTTATTTTTATGATTATATAAAATTTTTTGAATGTGTTTGCGAACATCGTTAGTTTAAAGTAAATAATTATTGATAGATTTAGTAGGTGTTAGAGAAATGATAATTTTTTTATCTATTTAGTGATAATGGATCACGGGCTTTGGATTCAAGTCGTTGATATTCATCAATTATTGAAAGATCAACAATAAAGACATTATGATCAAGTGATTGGATTTTTACGTGTTCCCATTTTGTGCAACAGCTTAATGCTACGTAAGCTTGTCTATATTCAAAGATTTGATTATATAAGTTTAGCGATACATCGGGAATTGTTAGCCCTTGTGTTTTGTGTACTGTAAGTGCAAACGCGTTTTGTATAGGATATTGTGTGCGGCTGGCAGGTATGCCGTTAAAGTAGAAATTGTGTATATATTTAGTGAATGAAGTATTAACGATGGCTCCTTCAACATAAAAGCTGACGTATATTAGGCCAGTTTGTAAGTCGAGATCTGTTACAATGCCTACAGTACTATTAGCTATACAGTGTCTGTATTGGGAATTATTTAAAAACATAACTCTCGCTCCAGGCTAAATTCTAATAGTACTAGGAAGGTTTGTTTTATTTGTGAATTCACGGCATCTTGAATTAGCAGGGTATACTTGACCATCTATGATGTTGGTACTATTGGAAATTAGAAACTTATTTTCGTGAGTGGGAATTGAGGCGCAAATTGTTCTGTTGATTAATTCAGCGGTTTCACGGTAACTAACTATGTGAGTCGTGTTAAGTGTTGTATTTGGTTGAGGTAGTCGAATGGTTTCTGACAATTTATGTGATAGCATATCCCAAACTTGTTCATCTATAATGCCATATCAGATTTTTGTAGAAGATTGTAAAAGCGGGTATCGTTGTTTTGTCTTCGAGGATCACGAAGAAATAAAGGATAGAAGACTTTCCATATGGGTGATTGATATATGGGAGATGCATTGACAGGGGTAATTGGGCAAGGTCACCAACTAAAATAATGCTAATCCCCCAAATGGGTAGTTGTTTTTGTATAAGCATTCAAAGAGTCGGAGACATATGTTAATAACAGGCCTGATACTATAAAAATTTCTTTGATTATGAGAGTATCAATTTGTAGGAGAAAATTACAGAAATTCGTGTTGTTAAATATAAGGGAGCAAAAGCCTCTTTCATCAGATATTATTTGTAAGGCAGAGTGAATCGTAGTTCTGCCTACATTTAAAGTAGCAATTCCTGTAGAAGCCATCAATAAGTAACGTGGCGAGTTGTTTGAAAGTATTCCAGTAATATACAGATCATAAATGATTTGCCATTGCTAGCAAAACTGGTAATAAAGAAGTATGGATAATGTGAGGCATCTCGTTTATCTAAATAATTGGTTAGTGTTTGGTAGCAATAGTATTGACTTGGACTTAGATTAACTATTACATTCGTAGGTATAATAAAGGGTAGTATTTTAAGAGAGTCTAATTGTGTTTTAATAATGTCGATTATGTTGCTGGTTAGGATAGTTTGTAACGAAGAAACGATTGTTTCGATTATCGTGTTATATTGGTTCAGAGCATAGGTTGATTGATTTGAGATAAACTCCAAATTTTGGGTAATAATAGATTGATATAAGTCGGGAAATCGGAAAAAGAAGTGATCTTGGTATGTTTGATAAGATCCAAGCATTTCTTGTTCAAATCTGCAAGGTTGTTTTAGCAGAAGTTGTTGATAGAAAAATGATTTGCCATGTTCTGGTCTTAGGAATCGATAACGGATGAGTATTTTACTATCATGCTTAATGATAAAGTTTTCTAAGGTATCTTGATATATCGTTCTTCGAAAATTAACTGGTCTAGTAAGTTTAATTTCATAATGTTCGAAGTAAGTTTTATAGGTCATATTGTCAAACAGGGGGTGATCTGGACGAGCAAAATATTTTTCTATCTTGTCAGACCAATAAGGATTATCGTCATTAGGGTCAATCATGTATAATAGTAGTACAGTTTTGGATCGAGTGGATAAAGGATCAGTTGTCAGAAACTGAACTTGGATTGAAGAATTCGTATTGCATTCACCAAGTAACAAAAACATTAATTTTATCGATCCCATTCAACGAGCATGAATGTATTCCTGATAACAATTGTTTTTGTATATTAAATAGGTAAGTTGGTTCAGATTTGCTTATATATTTATTATGTATTGGGCAAGTCCTTTACTGGTAACGTATTGGGCATTCATATAGGCATTTTATATCATCAGAGTCGGGGCATGGTATGGGACTATCCATTGGTCTTCGGGTGTCAAGCATTGATATGTGTATTTGTAGTTGCTCAGATCATAATAGGTGTGTTCGGCAAAGGGACAAGGAAAACCTTTCTTGCATCTAGAACTGGTTGGAACTGGACCACCACATTTAGAATTGCAGGTGTGTATTTGTAATGAACGAACTTTTTGATAAAGATTGGGTTCTAGGTTGGGATTTGGGAGAGTTAATTTAACTGTATTTAAATTGATCATTTCATTTATATTAGAAGTAGTCTAATAAACACTGTGGAGGTGAGCTGCGCCGTGATTCTAAAATTCAATTCTATCAAAAAAGTGTTGGTATGTTCTTCATTCACTAATTTTGGGATCTTTCCAAATGTATTTTTTAAGATTCTGTAATCTGTGAATAAAATGTAAGGTTGTGTGTAGTAGTTTGTTTGTTAGTAGCAGGTCACAATTGTCCGTGTTGGTGAGAATATTACGAAGATGATGCCATGAACCTTCCGGCATTGATAGGGTGATAAAGATTGTCAGAAGACCTAACTCACGTATCATTGTATTCAAATGTAGTGGAGGTATGCCCAGGCTGGCCAATAACAATGCAAATGGAATTGATGATCCAAAGAAAGTAATCGGTGCTTGATATATTTTCCAAAGGTTTTATGATGACGTTGTGTATATCCTAATTGATTGCGAGTTTCATAATAATAACCATGACCGTTAGGATACAAATCAGGAAAAAGTAATGGTTCGAGGTTAGGTTCGAGGTTAGGTTTGTTTAAAGAAATTGGGATCCTATTGGACCTGTCATTTGTTAAAAATCTAGCTATTAGGTGACGATAATGGGCGTCTTCATTATGAAGTTGAAAGGAAAGTTTTGATGTAGAACTACAATATCACCTGGTAGTACGGGAGGTGTATTGTCTTCACCAGGTAAATGAGTCGCTATCAGAAAAGGGTGATGCGTGGATGAATTAGTTGTAATGGAATTCGTATATTCACGTAAATATGGGTTATTTTCTTTGAGCCAATTGGCTGTGTTTATCAGAGCATTATCAAGCCAAGGTAGATTTGAAACAGTATCTGAAGGTTCTAAGAAAGTGCCCAATATTCCAGAATATAGACTTAAAGAATAGAGATTTCAAGAATAGTTCATAGTGCCAACCAAAGATTTGTATTCAGTGAAGGGATTTGCTTCAGGGGTACGACCAAGTGAACAATGTAAAAAAATAGAAGATAAATATCTGCATTTTTCTAACAGTACAAGACTTATTTCTGATGGAACAGGAGAAAGATATGGTGGGTAATTTCTAATTGGATTTGATTTATATGAAGGACATATTGCAATTCTGTTTGGTAGTGAATTTGGATTAGTAACCAATACGATATCTGAGTAGGCGGTCATGAGTGGATAAGTGATGTTGGGTTCTTTGAGGATCCATAGCAATTTTTTAGGATATATAAGTTTTGAGCAAACAGAGCATGGAATATATGGGAATTGGCATAAGATTTCTGTTTCGAATTTGTAGATTATTTGATGCATCTTCGATAATATAGTCCACAGTGAATGAGTTGGAGATGATACAGATGAAGCAGTATTGTATATAGGATTTAACTCTTCTACTATAGGTCGCGATATAACATTGGTATTGGTCAAATCAATCGTTTGTTCACATTCAAAAGAATGGATTTCAAAAATCTGATGTGCGTAAAATGGCATAACATATAAATTGTGAAAGATCGCAGGTATTAAGGTAATTAGTTATGTTTGAATTTTATTTTTGAGTTTGAGATATTGATAAGGTAGTTATTTTGGATTTCAAGTATAAATCTGAAAGGTATTTATGATTTTTTTGGAAACGAAGAGAATTCGATGACTTATGAATAGTTTTTTTAAAAGCGGGATGGAAAGCCTTTTATATGTTTAAATCTTATACAAAAAATTGGTTCTAATGTACATCTGTTATTGCACACTGAAGGTTGTTCAATTTTTATTGTTATCTTTTTCAAGCTTATTGAATTCGATTATGATCTGAGTATTTATCAATTATGGCTTATGTGATAACATTATTATATTATACGCGACATGACATCTGGTAAGTATATTTAGTAGGAATTAATATCTAAAATAGGATATACATATATAAAGTGATGATATGCAGCAAGATAATCAAAGCTAAGTAATAGCTAATAACCAATTTAGATATGGATATTAATACGATTTAAGTAATAAGAGGTGCCAGAGACATGGTGAAACTTTTTTAATCGTTATATATATAACAATTTAGTAAGTATATAGGCTAAGTAATAATTAATACTTATATAAAGCGTAATATATGCAGAGGGTCAAGGCTAAGTAATAAGTAACAACTAATTCAAGCATATGCATGTCTAGGATGTTAATATGAATTAGGTAATAGGAAGGTACATAGCAAAATAATAGCTAAATCAGATATATGTATATCTAAGGTAATAATGCAGTAATGCAGTAGAAGATATTGATGAGTCAAAAGAAATTTTGGATAGTAATAGGAATAATTTTATACTGGGGTGCTTAGAGTTTTGCAATTGCAGAAGTTCTACAAGTTTTGAAATGCATTTTCAGAATTTATACTGAAACTGCACTAACACTAGCTAAAATTATCACACATAAACCTAAATATTGTAAGGTTTTGATCGAAGTTTGAATGATTTGGTCCGAGTAATTAGGATTAGCAGATCTGTAAATACATTAGGATAAGTTTTTTATTTTTTTAATTATTTTATTGGCTATCTTGTTTGTTATTAATAGATTTTGGTTATTTTATTTTTATTTAAGCTATTGTAACAATGTATAACATGATCATCAGGTAAATAATTAAAGACAATAGTCAAAACATAATGGGAAAGTAGTAGTATAAATAGGGTAAGAGGTCGTTATGTATTATTTATCTATCTATTTACTTATTTATCTATTTATTTATTTATTCATTTCAAATTATTTGATTCGATTTATTTGCATGTGGAATAGTTAAAAAAAAAGATACAATTTTTATTAAATGACTTAAATAAAAATGTGATCTGTTAGTAATTTAGAAACAAAGAAACAAAATACATGTCAAGACATGGATCAATCAGAGATATTATGAGTTTGATTCTGCTTCAACGCATCTTTTGCAAGATCAGCAACCTTTGGATGTCCCTTTGATCTAAAGTAAGGGTTTGTAGTCATCGCTTTTCTTCTTTTACCTCTCTTCATTCTAGTGGTGATTGTTCAGGATGCAATTTTGGTACTTGATTCATTAGACAGGGGTCCGTTTTGGATTGCAGTTTCGGCACTTGATTCATTAGATTGGTTGGTTAGAGTTTCATTTTGGATTGTAGTTTCGGCACTCGATTTGTTAGTTGAGGTTTCATTCAGAAGCTTAGTTATAACGCTTGATTTGTTAGTTGGAGTTTCATTTTGGATTGCAGGTTTAGAGTTTGATTTGTTAGTTGGAGTTTCATTTAACCAAGGAAGGTTAGCCAGGGTTTTCAAATTAACACCTGATTTGTTTGGTATTAAAAAAAAATAAAATAAAATAAAAAAGCAAAATGTGTTAAGGTATGAAACAGAAGATAAAAACATCATGTTCAAATGTTTTAGCAACAAATCAGTTAATGTCAATTAATATATTATTAAGGTCAGGATGCAAAAAAATAAAAAAATTTAATACCTGATTTTTGATATTCAGTGAAGTTTACAGTACAGTGATGAATGACATAAGTATTATCAATTATTATAAATTCTCCACTAATGAAAAGAACTGATCCTATCTTGGCGGAAGAAGAAGTTGAAGTAAGGTGTTGGGCAGACCTGAGGTGGTAACATTCTAATTTTTGAACGACATGAACCTGATCCATATAATCCTTTGTTTTCACAGTTAGAATAATGTTGTCAGATTTAATCTGAAGAAGTTCAATCACAACAGTAGTCATATTTATCAGGATGGGAAATACAGGCAAGTTGGTTGGGTCGATTGCAAGGTGAATAACTTTGGACAATATGATCTAAAATGCAATATGTATAAGAGATTTTTTGATATATTGTAATTAGTGTTGTCAATTTCTTGTTCAATTGATAAAAATTATGTTCTATTCTATTGTTTTATTGTTTTATTTATCTATTGTTATATTAATATTTAATTATAAACTTGTTAACAATTTTTTGTTCTATTGACAAAAATCTTATTCTATTATAATTTCTATTGTTCTATTCTGTTGTTCTATTGTTCTATTCATATGTTGCTGTCAACAGTGATAAATAGAAATTTTTGTTGTAAGTTGCAATTTCATGTCTTGTTAGATTTAGTTGCAACCTTTACAAGCACTTTTTTTTTTTTACAAAAAAAAAAAGGTAAGATTTCAAAGTTACAAGGTCGAAAGTTTATGTTATAAGTCTATTACTAAGTCGAATTACAAACATATAATTTAAAATTTAACTATCTTATACTATTTTATGAAATATAATGATAAGTTCTAACTTTAATTAACACTACATTAAAAGTTGTAATTGATATTTGAAGCAAGCATTTTTAGCAGCAAAATCACATGTTAAAGTTTATCTTAAGCACAGGATATTTTTTTACAAATTCTTCTACATTTTCAATAATCTGAAATTTACCAGTCACCAAGAGTATGTCTTCAGTTGAGAAGGAGGCTAAAGTGGATTTTTGAGTCTTATCTTGCGAGTAAAAGCCTATCAAAAGAAGATTTAATGCAGAGGCATTGTTTTTAGGGTGCATTACTCCAATAGCTTTAACAACGCTAAGAGTTTTATTCGTAATAGATTCTTGTTTATTGGTAATATAACACATCATCGTTATTGTTGACGGTATTTTTTTTTTGTTAAAAAAAATATGAAACTTAATTTTTTTTATTTAAAAAAAAAAAAAGAAAAAAAGGCAAAGCTAAAAGGTAGCTTAATTTTTTTTTTTTTTTTTTTTAAAAAAAAAAGAGAAGCTATAAAGTAGGCCAAGAATAATTATTTCTTTATTAACAGATTTATAATTTTTTTATTTGCGTCTTCAAGTGTTAACCAAGATCGAAACTCGTATCGTAACATACATTTACCTGTTCACTTTTGTAATGGTATTTAACAGGATTCATCATAAGATTTTTCAATACTACCTCACGTTTTACTGTACGGTTTATTAACAACCAAATATCTGTTATGCATAGATTTTATTATATCTGCGATAATTAACGAATTAGTAAAGAAATCAGAATTCACGATTTTTTTATATTGTAACCATTATTGGGAGAGCTTAATAGAATGATGTATATGAGGGCCAATTTAACTCCAACGGTGTACAGTGAGATAAAGATAAACTTGGAGAAACGAAGAGTGTCTTTTACAACTATCAGAGGTCTACTGAAACAATATGATACTATGAAACAAAGGTTTTAATATTGATAGGAGTGATGCAACCACAGGTGATGCTGTTAGGGAAGTCTCAATAAGGATGGTGAGGTAAAAGCAGATGATGATTAAGTGATAACGAGGATAAATTAGAGTATACATGAGTGATTAACAGGGTTGAGTAACTAATTGTAAGTCTTGTTCTCTATCACAATTTCTGCAAGTTACTAATGTGTATAAGATAAATATTTCAGAACCTGAGTCTTAGTAATCCAAGTCGAAATTACAAGTCAATTCAGTCTGTTGAATTGAGTCTCGAATGGGTTTATCAAAATTACAAGTCAGATTCAAAAGACAATACACAAGCGAATATTCGGATAAGTATATATTTTATTCAAGCACAAACGAAACAATTATTTAAGGATAGAATGGTAGTCTTTATTATTCACAAGAGAGAACTAACAAAACTACTGCTTGGAGCATTAGGTCTTTAAATACATTTTTAATTTGTGAGTAGCTACATCCTAAAGGCTGCGTTTACATGACTACAGGGGAGATTACACTACTATTGAGATGCTTACACCCCCACGGGGATGTTTATACACTCACTTCTGAGTCATTTCTCTGTGATTATTCATGTGGGCCACAGTAACAGGTTCAAAAGCCTGTGTTTGCACCCTCAAGGTCACGTTTGTACACCTTGAGTAACAGTCTTATGATTAAGCCACCAAGCCAACCCATCATTACCTTTTTAGTATAAGTTATGAATTGTTCTAAAAGAAATTAATAAAATTGCCAATATTGGGCATTGTTACCAAAACGGATGGGGAATTTCAAATTATTATACATATACAGATAATTTACCAAGAAAAATAGTTTTATTTACAAAAAGTTAAAGAAAATAAAAACTAAGTTTTTAATTCGTTACACTATACACATAATAACATTATTGCTAAGATAGAAAAAAAGATAATTAACATAAAAATGTAATCTATTATTACGGCTGCAGCAGATAGCACAATATAATGTTTATTGGAAAGTCACATCTCTGTTTAAAAGAACAAAAAAATAAAACATTTTTTATTAAAGTGATTGATTTCGATTAGAGTATCTACACCTGTACTTTCCAAGTAAGTTAATTTTTATCACCTCGTTAATTTTGGGATTACTTATCGAATGCTTATTTTTATTTATTTATCAATAATTTTTTTTTTTTTTTTTTTTTCACTTAGGCAAAGTCGCGCCAGTGAGTTCTGTTTATTAAAGCCCTTCTTGTGAAAG